TACAATGTGACCCAGAGACAGGAAGTGAGCAAATGCTGTTGGAAAAAAATAGTACCAGCAGACTTGCTCAACACAGGGTCACCACAAACCTTCAATTCGTAAAAGAACGTAGTATCTGCAAGGAGCAACAGAGTGAGGTGAGCCTTGTTGTAAAGGGGAATGCTCTTTTAAATGCTGAACTCTTATATTTTCTTCGAAGATTAGGAAAATAAGCCAATTCCATTTCCTACCTCTAACATTTAACTATAATGACCACCTAAAAAGAATTTTGTCATCTGCATTTCCACATGAGGTGCAACTTGTAATAGGCAGTTGTAGCTAACTCCCACCTTCTAGGAGCATCACCCACACTTTTTCTGCTATCTCATACTTCTCATGAGGTTTTCAACTTTAAATAGAAGTTCTTAAGCACCCACACACATAACATATTATACTGGGCTGTCTGACAAATCTTATCGAGAGCACCAGATTACATCCTTTCTGGAAAGCAATTTGGTTAATCTGCATCAGAAACCCTTAAAAAAAAAACCTAGGTCCCTTGTCCCAGCAATTCCATTTCTGGGAAGCTATTCTACAGAAATAATCAGAGAATCAAATACACATCTATTTAAGCACGCCCATCTATGCAAGAAAATATTAACACTATCTCTAGGTGTGGGATTACAGGTAATTTTTACTTTTTTTTTTTTAAGATTTTGTTTTTATTTATTTGTCAGAGAGAGAGAGAGGGAGAGAACACAAGCAGGGGGAGTGGCAGGCAGGGGGAGAAGCAGGTTCCCTGCCAAGCAGGGAGCCCGACGCGGGACTCGATCCCAGGACTCTGGGATCCTGCCCTGAGCTGAAGGCAGACACTTAACCGACTGAGCCACCCAGGCGTCCTAATTTTTACTTTCTTCTTCACACTATCTCTCAGTTTCTAAAATTACATATATTTTCCTTATTAAATATAAGTATATATATATATATTTTTTTAAGGTAAAAAGACCATTTTTTTCTAAAAGTTTATATCCATCAGAAGATAGTTTTTAGGAAGGCCATTGGTTCCAGTGTAAATGCTAAATTTCTGATCTCCATAAGAATGAAGTTTCTGAATACAAATCAACTTTATTATATATTTCTAAGAATCCTTCAACATTTCTTTATCAAAGCTCTATGAAGCCTTCAAGATGGTCTTTATTACATTACGGTTCCTTCCAGCAAGTTATCTATCATCTTGTAATTTGTGCAACTTTATATTGAGGTTTAAATTCCCACACCCCACACTAGATATGTGACCTAGAACAAGTTATAACCCCCTCTCTCAGTATTTTTAATCTCTAAAATGGAAACATTAGGACCTGCCTGATAGCATGGTTGTTTCAGTTGAGGTTTCAATGATAAAATGCACAAAAAGCATCTACAGATTATGTGACAAATAGCAAGCACTTATTACATGTCATTACCCATTGTTGTTTTGTATTATTATGCCAGATATGCATGCTCTCAAAAGTGATTTTTTGAGGATGTTCATATATAATGAAGCCTAAATGGCAGTCATATTCAGGATGTTATGACTGAGCTCAAGGCAGTAGAACACACAAGAAAGAACCAGCAAAAGGGGACCCACTGTACTACTTTACTTGACATGAATGCACAGGGATGCAAATGAAGTAGTGGAACCACAGATAGCTTTTCACTGAGACAGCAGTGAATGTTCCTTGGACTCTCACGTGGAAGAGTGTGGGTTATCTGAACATTAAAACAATTAATATATCTTTTATTTCCTGTTGTAGCATCCGCACCATCCTAACATTCTGAGACCATACAAATGCCTTCACTTGCAGCAGTCTTTTGGTTCCTGCACCTTCTGGAACGAGCAACCAAACAACATCACTCATTCTGTTCTTCAGAGATGCAGTCAATAAATCATGCATGAGAGCTATCCAAAAGAAACAAAAATTCATATGAAATCCTTTTTCAAGACAAACGAGCAACCAAACAACATCACTCATTCTGTTCTTCAGAGATGCAATCAATAAATCATGCATGAGAGCTATCCAAAAGAAACAAAAATTCATATGAAATCCTTTTTCAAGCCAATGTTTAAAATACAAGTGAGAGCTAGGTGAATCATTAGCTGCATAGTTGAGTCCAATAAACTTTCCTTCTTAATCATTCTACTCATGTTGAATTATGGCATCTTTCCCACTGAGGAAAGGTTGGATATTTCTTTGACTTCTTGAATTTCTTGTACCTGCGCCACTGTTAGTCACTGAAACCTCGGGGAGGAGGTCTTCATTATACTTTATATTATTCCTCCCAACATACACATGATGAGCTACTGTACTTGAACTCTTCCTATTTCTATTTCCACTGTCTATATTTTCCTTTTGATGAAATGTACCAAAGCCCTAAGGGAAACACTATCGTCTGGGAAAGGATACATTTAGATTTACAAGTAGAGAAGGTCTAGAACTTCTATATGCAGGGAATTTCTTTTTTTTTTTTAATTGAAGTGTAGCTGACGTACAATCTTATATTAGTTTCAGATGTACGACACAGTGATTCAACATTTATGTACATTATGAAGTAATCACCACGATAAATCTAGCCACCATCTGGCACCATACAAAGTTGTTACCATATTATTAACTATATTCTAAATAAAGGAATTTTCTAGGGAAATGTCACATATTTTTATATGACAGAGGGAAGTATGCTTATTGCTTTTTATACTGTTCACAGTGAATATACAATTATTCTTTAAAACAGAAGCAGTTTCATGCTACATGTGATAAATATGAGGTTCAGATATTAAATGTGAAAACTGAACTATTCCTGGAACCATATTGAAAAATCTGTAGTTTTTTGGTGCTTTATTGGCTAAACACTTAGTTAATTATTGTAATTAACTGAAAATTACTCATAAGGTAATTGAAAAGTAATATGGTGGCTTGAAGTGTAGGGATTGGAATGAAGCAGCTGTGGACACAACATGTAAAATGGGTAACCAAGAAATGCACAAACATCCAATGCGATATATTTTCTAACTAAACATATATGCATATACAGATGTGCATTTTCAATCTAGAACTTTTCTATTAACTACCATGTCTTAAATCTATAATCCTGGAAATAATGTAATTTTTTGAATATGCAAGAGCCTGTGTACACATTTGTTCATGCTTTCCCACTCTCAAGGGAAGATTTGCATTTTAAGCTTTATCTCCAAATGTACATAAAAAGCTTATTCTTTTAAGGGGTTTTGTCTCTCTCCAAAAGGGTTATTTGTTTCTGTGTCTACAATTTGTTTGATATTGTGGAAAGGACTTTGGATTGAGAGCAAGTGATCTATCACCTACTTAATGGTGACCTTCAGTAAGTTACTCAACCTCTCTGAACCCGTTTCATTCTTTGTTTTAAAGAATTACTCTAAACACAAGGCCCACAAAGCCTTTTTTTTTTTTTTTTGGCTGTTGTTTTAAAGTATAAAAGATTAATTTAGTGCTTTTGACAGACTTTTGATTGTAGAGGATGTATGGTATCAGCACTGACAGATCACACAGATACAAAGAACTCTAGCTTATGACAATATTAAAGGTTTATCCCAATTCTGCAGAACAGCATTTTAAAACATACCATGGGGGCCTTAGAGCAGCATGCTTCAGATAGAGATTCTCCAGACGTTGAAATGCCAAAAACCTAACACCTCTGTATTGACTCACATACTTTAGTCCATTGTCACAGAGCATTTCCTATTAAAACCAATGATGGAGTATTGCACATGCACCTCGCCCAGCAGCGCCACACTCACCAGATGATTCTGGGCTGCCTGTAGGCCAGGGCAGAGCAGATAACACCTGTCGACACCCCTCTCTGACAGATGGTTCACAGTCTCAGACCAACCCTTCAGTCACAGTGATAGTGGAAGGAGAAAAGGGGGATCACTTTTTCACCAGTGTAGAAATGGGGAGGGGAAAGTAGCTTGCAAACAAAATGTGAATCAGTGTGATAAAATGATGCCGGGGTCAGCTGGGCTTTCAGTGAACAAAAAACCAGCAGCTCTTAACAATCAGCACCGTTCACCTGGACAGCCCTGATGTTCCGGTCCCGTCCAGCAGACAGCCTGACCATTGTACTTTCTGACTGTCCCCTAATGTCTGTGCATTGGCAATGCATTGGAAGATGATGTATATCCGATATATTCCCATGAAATAAACTGCCAGCAAACTTTCTAGCTTTTTAACTATTGAAAAAGAGATTAAAAACTTTTGTTTAAGTCATGCACAAATTATGGACTGTGCTTCTTATTTTTAGAAATCATTCCTTAGCTTTAAAATTTTCAAAGAAAAAACCTGAGGTACTGGTTAAGTCCCCATGTAAATGTGTTCTCTTCTCTCCATGCTGCCAGTAAGCCAAATCAAAAGCCATAAAAAAAAAAAGTGCTTAATAATGTGTGTAGATGAGAAAGTGATTTACTTACAGATCAAAGTCTTTGCTTCATGCAGCTACCAAACCTTTTCATTCTATACCTGGAACTTATATTACACTATATGTTAATAAACTAAAATTTAAATTAAAACTTGGAAAAAAAAGTCACCCTTTTTCTTTGTTATGGAATTCAGGGATTGTAAAAATAAAAATAAAGGTTTTGTTGTATTTTTGATGCTGGCATGAGGGTTTTTTGTCCACTTTTTTTCATATATCTGTGTATAAAAAAATTCTGTCCATTGTTTACTATGAGACTAGTGTTAACGTTTTGCCGTAAACAAAATAATTTATATTACTTGATAAACTATTGTAAATTTTAAGAGGTTTCTTTACCTCAACTAACTTAAAGTAATGGACCAATAAATCTTTAAAAAAAATTACCAGGCCAATACAGCTTCATAAGGATTAGACGATATGATGCTAGTGATAGGGCTCTGTCAACTGTGGAGTACCATGTACATGTAGGGCATAGTTTAACTGTTTTGTCAAAGAGGCTGAAGGAGATATTTAGGGTCAAGGCAGCTTTCAGAATGGTCCTAAGAAAACGCCATGGAATAGTATGGGTCCCATGTTACTCAGTGCACCAGTGTTTTATGCTGGTGCTGCTGATGAGAGATCCAGAGAATGAAGGTATGGTTCCAAATGCACACATCACAAGAGTGGGCATAAAATCCTACTGGTTGCCCAGAGGCCCGTATTCACCTCCAACCCTCCTTCCTCCCAGGCTATGGGTAGCAAGTGGAGAGTAGGACATAGGTGGGCATGTCACTCTACTCACAGAGTGGCACAGTCCTCCATGGGGTACCTGTGGGGAAGTTGGGGGTAGGTACCTTCTGCACCCAGCCCTGGATTGGCACTGGTGGGAAAGGAGGCAGCTTAAAATCAAAATATGAAAATGTATCCTGATAAGCCTATAAGGGTGCACATGGTCACGGTGTCCTGCTGGTCTCCAGCAATGAAAATTTTGACTCTAGAAGCCAAAATTTCCATTTTGCTGGTCTCCTTTAAAAAAACATAGCTGTGTTGGGCGCCTGGGTGGCTCAGTTGGTTAAGCAACTGCCTTCGGCTCAGGTCCTGATCCTGGAGTCCTGGGATCGAGTCCCGCATCGGGCTCCCTGCTCAGCGGGGAGTCTGTTTCTCTCTCTGACCCTCTCCCCTCTCATGCTCTCTCTCACTCTCTCTCAAATAAATAAATAAAATCTTAAAAAAAAAAAAAACAGGGCAAGAGTCATGAAAATAGTAAGCAAATAACAAATTAAGAATATGACAAAAATCGGGGCGCCTGGGTGGCTCAGTTGGTTAAGCGACTGCCTTCGGCTCAGGTCATGATCCTGGAGTCCTGGGATCGAGCCCCACGTCTGGCTCCCTGCTCAGCGGGGAGTCTGCTTCTCCCTCTGACCCTCCCCCCTCTCATGCTCTATCTCATTCTCTCTCAAATAAATAAATAAAATCTTTTTAAAAAAATATAGCTGTGAATGTACATAACTTGCACTGACTTTTGGCCAGCCCCAAAAAGCTGAGCAAACTGAAGAAAATTTTCAGTTTGCAGAGAAATAATTACATGTTGATGGTGTAACTAATAGCTCTGATACAATGACACAGCTCCTCCTGAAATAGTAAATAAGCAAAAAGGAGAAATAGGATCGATCTCTTAATTAACCCTTTGCCATTTTACAAATCACATAAGCTGATTTAGGATTAGAAAGAAAGGTCATTTTGACAGAACCATTAGAAAATCACTCAGAAGTTGAAGCAGAGTGAGAGTAAGTCTGTATTTGAAAATTGTATTTCTTAGACGCTTGACTATTTAATTGTTAGTAAATGATTATTGCACAAGTGACCTCTACTAAGTGTTCCCTGAAAATGTTAAAGTAACAATTTAATTGAAGTACATTAAGTTCTATTTGTCAAATACCTAATGATATTCAGGAAATGGGTCACCGAATAAAAAAAGAAACCAAAATTAGTGAGGCAAGAATAAAAGCAGAATGGGAACATGAGACTTGGGGCCAAACACAGTTTTGATGAGGTTAAATGGTTGTATATGTGGCCTTGGTTTGCTCATTTTATTCACTTGGGACCCAGTGTCCAGACGACCATCTGCACAATCCTGTCAGAATCAAGAGAACCCAGAAGTTGCTTAATAATTCACAAAGTTGGGACGCCTGGGTGGCTCAGTCAGTTAAGCGTCTGCCTTCGGCTCAGGTCATGATCCCAGGGTCCTGGGATCGAGTCCCACGTCGGGCTCCCTGCTCAGCGGGGAGCCTGCTTCTCTCTCTGCCTGCCGCTCCCCCTGCTTGTGCTCTCTCTGACAAATAAATAAAATCTTTAAAAAAAGATTTTAAAGATAAATAAAAATAAAAATAAATAAATAAAAAGTAAAGAGGAGTTTGACAAAGAAAATGGAGGGAGAGTCCCAGACAGAGGGCTCAGCCTGAAAGAGCAGAATATGTTCAGGGTATTATAATCATTTAGTATTGCTGACCTGCAAACTTTAAGATGGGCAATGTGTGGGGCCAGGTAACAGTGATTCCTGAATTCTTCAAAGGAGCTTTAGATTTTATCCTCTGGGCCATGGGAGCTTTACTGAAATTTTCTGAGCAGAGGGGTGATGGATCACAACACATTAGTAACTCCTTCTTGCAGCCCTGGGGAGGGGACATTAGAAGTGGGGGGTGAGGAGAGTAAGGAGGCTTTCACTAGGTAGAGGCAAGAGAGAATGGAACCTGTTCTAGGACAGTGTTAAAGGGGAAAGAATGCATCAGATAAATGAGATATTCTTAGGGAGTACAAGTGACTTGGCAGCAAGACTGCGAGAGTGCAGGACGCACAGTAGATGGAGGTGACAGAAGGTATTCACAAGATGTCCAGTAAGTAGACATGAGATGTGAGGTCCAAGATGGCACAGGAGATGAGGTGGTCATTTCCTCATTCCCCAGTCAGACCAGGCAGAGGTAATAGTCAAAAGCATGAAAATAAAAACAATTTTTGAGAGCAGAGGACTGGTGTTGGGATGTGTCCCCACCTTTAGGGTGAAAAAAAGGAAGTTCTGCGAAGAGGAGAGAAAAGCAGCAGCCAGTAAAGATAGGAAGACAATGAGGAGACACTGGGTTATGAAGGCCAGAGATTTGAGGAGAGAGCTCCCTTTTACCTCTGAAAGTGGCAGTTCTAGAAAAAGGAGAGTAGGAGAAGTAAATGGCATAAGCAAAGAAACTCAAGAGTTGAGCTATAAGGGAAAAGAGGCCCGTATGATCAACTTTAAAAGGTTGGACAAGTAGACTATAATAGCAGTAGCAACAGAGGGGAGAGGAAGTTCTTTTTAAGGAACAATGAAGAATAATGAGGAAGATCTCTAATATGGAATTAATCTTCCCCATAATTTATGCATATGGGGAAATGCTTTCCAAATTCCAAACAATCTAAGAGGGAACTTCTAAAATATGATGTGTGAACTGGACATTACTTGTAGCAGCCATCTTAGTAATTTCACCTTGCAAGTTCATGGGCTGATTGTTAATAACTGTAAGTTGAAACTTTGGAATGTGAGATATTAACACCCAAATTAAAAATTAATAAATAAGATGGCTGGTTATTATAGTAGTAACCAACCCAGTCCACCTTCTGTGTGTGTAACAGTGTATGGCAGTTTATACATATGGAAAGTAATACTTACATCCTAGGATAAAAGCACAAGATTTAGATTATTTTGGTGTTGCTGGGAATGCTTTCTGCTATCCCAGGCAACAGCACCCTCACTGTAAGCATTGTTAAGGGTGGTATACATTTGAAACATGAGTCCAGGATGGTGGGTAAATAACTAGGTAGACAGGAAGATGTTGGGAGTCTGAATATAGATTTTGGATGTGAGGAAAAAAAGGTTACCCATTCCCTTGGGCATTCCAGTTACAACACTACAATGCAACTCAGTAACTACCTGTCCCACAGGTAGCCTCATGAAGACCCTAAGTGAAGATGCACAATTTTCATTTGTCAACTAAGCATCAATCCTTATGAGTTCTTGAATCTTACAAATTTTTATTAGAGTGAGATGTTTCACATAAAATAGACCAAGGAACTTCCAAGGAAGGGCTCTTTTTAACTCTGATTTTTACATACATACTTTGTCTTCTTCTGCTGATTCTCCTCTTGTCTCCTTTCAAGGGCTTATGTGATTACTTTGTTCCACCTAAATAATCCAGAATAATCTCCCTACTTTCATGTCAAATGCTCAATAAACTTGATTACAACTGCAAGTCCCCCTTTTCCCTGTAATATATTCACCAGCATGGTAACACATTCAGTTTCTGGGGATTAGAATGGGACATCTTGGCAGGGGCACATTTTTAAAATTTAAAATTCTGCCTACCACAGCTCACGTGTGCACAAAAAATTCATTCCATTGTTATTTTTCATGACTGCGGGGCAGGGGCAACTATTAAACAAAACTATTAAACAAAAATCACTAAAATGAGAAATCTCCAAGATCTATTGTTAAGTAAAAAAGTAAGACCTACAAAGAAAGTAAACACTATGTTAGCCTTTATATTTTGAAATGGGTTATATCTCTGAAAGATACCACTGATAAGAATGCAAACTACACTTTTGTGTAAGTTTAAATGTTTTACCATATGTATGTGTACTTTTTAAAAACTAAAAGTAAATTTAAAAATCCCAAATCCTATAAGGGTTTTTAACTAAAAACATGAAACAGGGGCGCCCTAGGTGGCTCAGTCGGTTAAGCGTCTGCCTTGGGCTCAGGTCATGATCCCAGGATCCTGGGATCAGTCCTGGGATCGAGCCCCACAATGGGGCTCTCTGCTCAGTGGGGAGTCTGCTTCTCTCTCTCCCTTTGCCTGCCACCACCCCCAACCCCGCTTATGCAGGTTCTCTCTCTGAGAGAATAAATAAAATCTTTAAAAAAAAAACATGAAACAAATTTCTCTACAATAATAGACAATGGGTCAGTCAGTAAGTCCATCACAAGCAAGTTATTCTAATCTTTTTCTTATACTTTGCACATTACTAGAGAAACCTGCCTGCCTTTGGTCTCATCGCCAAGAAGAAAGGATTGATATAAAACACAGGGGAGAGCAAACAGACACTCTTTGCTGCCTGATAAAGAAGCTTATTCTATGAGCATGTGGTATCCATACTATTTTAAATCTAATCCCTCACAGCAGAAGTGGTGTAGAAAATATAAAATGCGACTTGGCTCAATGGCTATATAACAAAATCATTTGGCTTCAAGAGGAATTTATAGGAAGGCAAGCTCCTTGAGATTCAGTTGCTGAGCCCAGGGCTAGACACAGGTGCTGAAGACATCCTCACTTTTCCTAAGTAGTTGGTATTTTCCACAAAATCAAGCACCATTAAATGTGGAAATAATTCTCAGTTGTCATATTTTCTTGGGTGTCTTGTTGAAGTCCTGAAAGCCAGCCATCTCTTTACTTAGAAAAATAATAACCTAATAAACACTTTTGCTCTTTAGGAGATAAAGTTATCACACTCTTTCTACTGCATGTGGAGAATGTGCCTCTTGCCTTAATCCTGGGGACAATCTTTGTATACAAATCAAGTAAGGTTTTACTAATATTTTCTTTTTGAAACATTCAATTTCCTTAGAAGGAATCTAAGCTTTCTAATTTGAAATAAAAATTTGGGGGTTTTTTGTCTATGACAGTCGGAATCCAGCCTGATGTCTGATGGTACTAGTAGGTTTACCTTCAAGGGAAAACCAGTGTATCACTTTGCAAATACAAGCACCTTCTCTGAATAAGCAGTGATAAAAGAAATCTCGGTTGCCAAGATTGATGCAGTTGCACTTCTGGAGAAAGTATGCCTAGTTAGCTGTGGTTTTTCCACTGGGTATGGTGCTGCAATCAAGACTGCCAAGGTGAGGAGCATTTAATACCCAGTATGAATGGAAATCTTGGTCGATGGAGAGGAAAATCCTCATGCATCTGGGCATGTCTGATCATACAACCTCAGGAAGAATCACAAACCTGCCTCTAAACAACCCTGAGTTTTTTACTGTCTAGTCATCCCATGCTCCCCTTCAATATCTTTCCCATTCCCTTTTGGTCAGTAGTAAGTAGCAAATCAAGTCTGGATGCCAGTCACAACTGGAGATATCAGGAATTCCTGGAAGTTAAACAGAACACAGTTGGCAAAATTACTGTGTTCTTCCACATGCCAGTTCATTTTCTTTTTTTTATTCAACAAACATTTATGGAGCCATTCACTGCTCCAGGGGCTGACACTCAGCAGCTAACAAAACTCACCGAGCTGTTATTCTGTTGTATAATGTATCAGGTGATAATCAAGTGTTCATAAAAATAAAAGGATAGTAAAAAGACCAGGTGATGGAGGAGATGTTGCTATATAAGACAAATTGGTCAGGTAATCCCACTCTGATTGAGTGGGTTACTGTTAAACTATTGTTTTTGAGACATCCTCCAGCTACTTTCTTTAAATATCTATTGAATTGCAATACTTTGTTTTCCCCCAAAATCCGTTAATCCCAATCCTATATAGAGAAATAGGACAGAAGGGGTTCAATCTGAATTATTCTCATTTTGGACCCCCCCCAAAAAAATTAGCCTTTGCCTTCATAAGGCATTGACCTTATAAGTGATGCAAAGTTTTCCAAAGGAAAAGAGAAAGTAAGGGCTGCAGGAAGATGAGGATGGTTTTTAAAAACTCAAAAATAACTGGAATCAAATAAATACTATGGTAATAAGTCTTAAGATTTGATGAAATTTCATTAAACTGCTTCTACTAATGTTAATTCCCAGAAATTAAAACTGTATTTACAGGTAGTTTTTTGCTCCTCTAGCAAAAAGTATTCCACATCTAGAAATACCCTCAGAAACCAAAACTCTCTAGTTACAATGAGTTTTATCTGAAAATGTCCTTTGCTTATATCTCATAAAAAGTATATACAGACTTGGGTCTTTCCAACTGAGTAAAGGCACATGTTTCCCTTTGCTTTTGTTTTCTGCCTTCATGTGCTCAGGTGACCCCAGGCTCCACCTGTGCGGTGTTTGGCCTTGGAGGGGTCGGCCTGTCTGTGATCATAGGCTGTAAAGCAACGGGAGCAGCCAGGATCATTGGGGTGCACATCAACAAAGACAAATTTGAGAAGGCAAAAGAAGTCGGTGCCACTGAGTGCATCCACCCACAGGACTTCAAGAAACGCATCCAAGAAGTTTTATTTGATATGACAGGTACTGGTGTGGAATTTTGCTTTGAGGCCATCGGAAATCCAGAAACTGTGGTATGTGATTTTTCCAGAGGGAAAATAACCAATGCTTGTGTCAGTCATAAGCTTAGATTTTAATTGGATGAAAATTCTAAAATTCCCTCCACTTTTCCTCTAAATTATTTAATCTTCCTTGTGCCCCATGACATCCCAGCTGGTATCCTCTGTCCACTCCTACAAATCTATTCACCATTCCAAACACTGAACTCCCATGCTGAGATTTCTTCTTCCACTGTTCCATCATGCCATTCCTTCAAATAAGACGACAACCTCCAACAGACAGTACAGAAAAGCTTTGTAAAGAATTCTCACTGAATTATTTCATAAGCAACAACCTGGTAACTATAAATTCCAAGCCAAAAGATTTAAGCAAGATAAGGATAGTATTGGATCAACAACCTATAAAGGAATGAGCTTTGCACTTTGAGCAATCTTTCACAGTAGACCTGAGTGAGCTTCCAAAGAAAATATTAACCAATTTGATTAGATGGATTAACTTCAAAAATGAAGCAAGCAGTAGTTGTTTTTCCAGCGGAACATGGTTTATATAAGAATATAAATGGAGAGGGAGTTATTTCACAATCTGAGACTTGCTTTCTTTGGGGATTTGTAGAAATAATGTACTATTGGATTGCATGGCTCTATCTCTAGTTAGCTGTATGAAAACCCAATAACTGTCTCTTTTAACCTGAGTGCTTTCCTCAGCTTACAAAATGTTTTCATTCTCCCTACAACATGAACTCCCTCGTGTGTAAAATGGTATAACCAAACCTTTCTCACAATCTTTCCTGCAGACAGTCTTGTCTGAGAAATAGCCTTTGAAAATAACTAATGGGAACATGTCTGTTTATCACTCTGTTAATACAAGATGTTATACAACTACAAAGCTGTACTCCTCGATGTCTAAAAGAAAAAGTCAATTCTAACAAACCACCCATGTCAGTAATGGCTCTCATAAAAATTAATACTATTGTTGTTGTTGTTATTACCACCATGGGTGTGTTTAGTATTTTCATTTTTTTAATTTCCATTTATTGAGTCCTAAAGTGCCAGGTATTATACTAGGCAGCATGCAATGTCTTATTCATGTTTCAGCTAATCCTTGTAAGATAAATGTTATTTTCAAATGAGGTCAGGGAGCATCAGAAAAGATCACAGACCATTTAGCAGCTAATCTGAGATTAGGTCCAACTCTTAAGGACATCTTTTAACCCTTGCATTGTCTTACAACAGGAAGCTGCCCTGGCCTCCTGCAATGAGAGCCACAGGTCTGTGTGATTGTTGGGCTCTTGGCAGGTGTCCAACTCAACATCAGTGGCTTGTTGTTCCTCTCAGGACGTTCTTTGAAGGGAACTGTTTTTGGAGATATGGATGAAGCAGGGAAAAGTGGAAATGCATGAGGTTTTAGAGGTGGTAAATAGAGAAATGTGTCATAAATGCTTAAGAAGGAACATCAAACAAGAACTTTAGATTACAGTTTTTGTTTCAACACATAAATATCCAAGATAAGGAGATGGATATTAGATGTATACAGTTACTTATTTTTAAATTTTATTTTATTTAAATTTACAGTTACTTCTTGGTAAGTTTTTTTTTTTTTTTTTTAAGATTTTATCTATTTATTTGAGACAGAGAGAATGAGAGAGACAGAGAGCACATGAGAGGGGGGAGGGTCAGAGGGAGAAGCAGGCTTCCTGCTGAGCAGGGAGCCCGATGCGGGACTCTATCCCGGGACTCCGGGATCATGACCTGAGCTGAAGGCAGTCGCTTATTTTCTTGGTAAGTTTTTTATTGATTCGTAAAGCAACAGGTGTCCAAAGTTTAATGCAAATTATAAGTTGAAAAGAAAAGGCAATACTGTTATCAATAACTATACTTCAATTGAGTTATATATCTGCCAAGTGGATTCTTTGAAGAATATACTGAATCACTGTTCAACTAATGTTAAGTCTTATCTGAGACAACTGAGTTTTCGTTACATCAACTCAAAGATATGAAACATAATGGATTCGTGAGTGAAAAATACTACTGATAAAAAGCAAATGAGAATTATTTCCAGAAAAAAATTTTTTCATAGAATCCTTTGATTTTCCATTTTTTAAACCTGTCTTAGAACTTGCATTTTAATAGGCTTTAGAAGAGGGTTTATTGAGAAAGTTAAGAAACTAGAAAACTAAATAAATCTGCTTAGGATTCTGGGCTCATAAGCAAGTAATCTACTATTTAAGAAGAAATGTATTTACCCAGAGATTTTGGACAACCTGAATTTTGGGGCAAAAGAGATAAGGATTAGGAACTATATGAATTATTTGACTAGTGAGCTATCTGTGGTCTCCAAATTAGCTATAGCAGAGCAGTGTATTGTTACAGACACTAGGAGTCTTACCCAATTCATTCATGAAGAGTAGATAAATGGCAGGGCCAGCAAAAACAAATACATAAATAATCCAGTTTATAATTTTCAGTTCTTCCATTTGGGATAACTGGATACAACCACTGCTTTTTCCCTCTATTATACATGGTAATTATTGATTCCAAACACACATACTCAGCTAACTCTTGCAAAATAAGATCACAAATATTTTAAATAATTCTCATAAACTACTTCACTGGCCACTTAAGCATTCATATAACAATTATTACATGAATCCTACCTTCCACAGACAGTATAATCCTCTGGGTCAATAGTTTTCAAATAATGACAATATTTAAGAAAGGCAGGATACAAGATGGCAGTATAGGGAGATCCTAAACTCATCTCCTCCCACAGACACACCAAATCTACAGCCACACATGCATCACTTCCCTCTGAAAAGATCTAAAAACTGAAAACTAGATGAAATGCTCTATACAACAAAGGATAAAAGGATCATATTGCAATGGGGAGAAGAGGCAGAGACATGGTCTTGCAAAACCCCACCCCTGGTGCAGTGATACACAATAGGATGGATCTCAGCAGACAGGGGCTTGTCCCTGAAGAACAAAGGGTTGATGCCCTACAGTAGGCACCCTGGCCCCTGGGATTTGCACAAGGATGAGATAAGCCCCCAGAATGTCTGGCTTGGAAAACCAACCAGGGCTGACATTAGGTGGGGGGCGCTAAGTGCTATAGGGAACTGAGATTCCCTTCTTAGAAGGCTCATGTATGATCTTGCTCACCCCAAGACCCAGTGAAAAATCAACAGTTTGAAAAGTGCCTAAACTATATATGAGGGAGATTCATTTGCTAATCTGGGGTCATCAGCAGGAAGGGCAGGGGCCAGCTGAGAAGCTTCCCAGTGATGGAGGCACTGGCCGATGCCATTGTTGTACTCTCCACAAAACTGCTAGCATAGGTGAGCAAGCTTGGATATGGCACACTCCCATGGCACTTACTGAGGCCAGAGGGCCCAAGTGATTGTAGTGCTTCCCTGTTCCTTCGCTGGGGCAGGAAATCATGAATGGAGTTCTTCTGGTACCCAGCTAAAGTCTGTGAGCATAGGCGGTTGCGACACTCCCCTGCCCCTGACTGAGGCTGGCAAGCACAAGCAGTCCAGCATTTTCCTGCTTCCAGCCTAAAGGCTGCATGCAGAGAGACAAGGCACTCTCCTGCTGGCACTGCTGAGGCCCACAGATACATGGAGTCAAGACATTTTCCCACTGCCTTTCTGAAACCAGTGAGCATGCCCTACCCTTTCACTCCACCTGGCTAAAACCAATAGGAACAAACAATCAAAAACAAGGGATTCTCCTTGATCACCTAGTCTTTGTGGACAAGAAGGATAGCATTCCAGAGCTCTACAAATATGTAACAATCAGAAATACAGTTCTTGGCAAACTACCACCCCTAGGTAGACAATAGACTGAAACACAACCACAGTCCTCCTGTGAAAAAAGCCTATTTATTTAACCTGGTACTCTAGCCTGAGGGATAGGCTTCAGGTTTCTCTTACATCTAGAGGCTAAGGAGGCACTCTCAGGAAATATAAGCAAGAAGATATCATCCTTCTGTACCTCCCTGGCATTGATACAGCTCAAAAAGATTTCCCAGAAAGGAGCTTATACACTCATCTAAAGCCCTGATTCTTGCAAATGTCACCTACAGTACACCTCTGGACCTCTTGCGCTGGAGGCCACAGAGATTATAATTGCAGCTCCACTCATCTATAGATATTTGCATACTTTAAAAGGTGTTGCCTGAGAGTCTGGCTTCCAATCAGTCTGAAATTAGTGCTAATGAAATTCCTCCTGTTGGGTCACTGACAGGCTTGGTACAACCTCAACAACAGGGGCACATCAAGAATAAATGAACTGTGTATATTTTGCATTTAATTCCGTTTGAAATTCTTCTATAAATAACTTGGGACTATCAAAAAAAAAAAAAAGACTAAGTCAAGTAGTTTAGACAACCACAATGGTTTGAGAAATAAAAAAGAGCTAGGGAAAGGTTGAACAAGAAGGATCATCACCTAAACAAGGCCATTCCTTCAACGAGAGAGGCAGCTGTTTCACCTAATATACAGGAACATAGAGAGTCAAGAAAAAGGAGAACACAGAAATATGTTCCAAACAAAAGAGCAAGACCAAACCTCAGAAAAAGACCCTAATAAGGATAGATCATCTTAAATATAAATGGATTAGGGGCACCTGGGTAGCTCAGTCATTGAGCTTCTGCCTTCAGCTCAGGTCATGATCCCAGGGTCCTGGGATCGAGCCCCACATCGGGATCCCTGCTCAGCAGGAAGCCTGCTTCTCCCTCTCCCACTCCTCCTGCTTGTGTTCCCTGTCTCACTGTCTCTCTCTCTCTGTCAAATAAATAAATAAAATCTTTAAAAAAAAAAATAAATAAAATAAAATAAATAAATATAAATGGATTAAATTCTCCAATCAAAAGACATGGAGTGATTGAAGGGATATAAAAGAAAAAGAAAAAGATAAATCTATATGTACCACCTAGAAGAGACTCACTTCAAAGGTTAGAACATACAAAAGAAAGTAAAGGGATAGAAAAGATATTCCATGCATAAGAAGAAAGCTGGTGTAGCTATATTTATAGCAGATAAAACAGAGTTTAAAACAAAGACTGTAACAAAAGACAAAGAAGGACACTACATAATGATAAAGTGGTAAATCGACGAAGGAGATATTAACATTTATAAATATATATGCACCTAACATAGGAGCAAGAAAATATGTAAAGCAAATATTGACATACTTAAAGGGAGAACTGACAGCAATACAATAATAAGTAGGGGATGTTAATACCCCACTTACATCAATTGATTATCCAGACAGAAAATCAATAAAGAAACATTGGCCTTAAGTAACACATTAAGTCCGATGGACTTGATAGAGAACATTCCATCCAAATCAATAAAATACACATTCTTCTCAAGTACAAGTGGAACATGCTCCAGGACAGATGGTACATAGGCCACAAGACAACTTAAGAAGACTGAAATCATATCAAGCATTTTTCCAACCACAATGGTATGAAACTGGAAATCAATTACAAGAAGAAAACTGGAAAAACTACAAAAATGTAAAGATGAAACAGTATGTTACTGAACAATTATTGGGTCATATTAGAAATCAAAGGAGAAATCAAAAATACCTAGAGATAAATGAAAACAGAAATACAATATACTAAAATCTAAAAAATATGTAGCAAAAATTCTAAGAGGAAAGTTCATAGCAATACAGACCAACTTCAAGAAACAAAAAAACTCAACCAATTAACTTTATATCGAAGGGAACTAAAAAAGAAGAACAGAGCCCAAAATTAGTAAAAGGAGTTAAATAATAAACATAAGAAAGGAAATAAATGAAATAGAGACAAAAAATATAGGAAAAATGGGTTGGGCATCCAACTCTTGATTTCAGCTCAGGTCATGATCTCAGGGTCGTGGGATCGAGTGCAGCATCAGGCTCCATGCTCAGTGGGGAGTCTGCCTGACATTCTCCCTCTCCTTCTCCTTCTGCCCCTGCCCCTGCTCCTAATCTCGCTCTCTAAAATAAATAAATTTTTTTTAAAAAAGAAAAAAAAAATCAATGAAACTAAGAGCTGGTTCTTTGAAAAGATAAACAAAACTGATAAACCTTTACTAAACTCACCAAGAAAAAAGAGGTAGGGCCCAAATAACCAAAATCAGAAATGAAAAAGGAGAAGTAAGTGATACCACTGAAATACAAAGAATCACAAGAGACTACTCTGAACAATTATACACAAATTGGACAAGCTAGAAGAAATGGATAAATTCCTAGAAATTTATAATCTTCCAAAACTGAATCATAAAAAAATAGAAAATCTGAATAGAATGACTACTAGAAAGGAGACTGAATCAGTAATTAACCTCCCAACAAACAAAAGTCCAGGACCAGATAACTTCACTGGTGAATTCTAACATTTAAAGAAGAATTAATACTTAAGCTTCTCAAACTCTTTCAAAAAAAAATGAAAATAATAGAAAGCTTCCAAACTCATTTTACAAGGCCAGCATTACTCTCATACCAAAACCAGGCCAGGACACCACAAAAAAATTACAAGTCCATATCTCCAATGACCACAGCTGTGAAAATCCTCCACAAAATATTAGCAAACTGAAACAATGATACAATAAAAGGACCACACAACATGATCAAGTGGGATTTATTCCAGGAATGCAAGGATAGTTCAATATCTGCAAATCAACTGATATGATACACCCTATTAACAAAACGAAAGATAAAAATTACATAATCATTTCAATAGATGCAGAGAAAGCATTCTACAAAATTCAATATCCATGCATGATGAAAAACTCTCAACAAAGTAAATATAAAGGGAATGTATCTCAACATAATAAAGACTAATATGACAAAGCCAGAGCTACTATCATATTCAAAAATGGAAAGTTATAAGTTATTCTTCTAAAATCAGGAACAAGACCAGGATGCCCACTATCCCCACTTTTATTTAATATAGTATTGGAAGACTTAGCCACAATTTGGCAATCCAAATTGGAAAGGAAGAAGCTAAACCGTCACTATCTGCAGATGACATGATGCTAAATACAGGAAATTCTAAGGATTCCACCAAAAAACTGTTAGAACTAATAATTAATTCAGTAAAGTTAGAGGATACAAAATTAACATACAAAAATCTGTTGTTTCTATACACTAATAATGAACTATCAAAAAGAGAAATCAAGAAACAATCACATTTACAATTATAGAATAAAATACCTACCAGTAAATTTAACCAAAGAGGTAAAAGATTTGTACACTGAAAACTATAAAACACTGATGAAATAAATTGAAGAAGACACAAATGAATGGTAAGATAATCCACGTTGATGGATGGAAAAAAAAAAAAGTAGTATTATTAAAATGTCCATAGTACCCAAAGCAATCTATAGATTCAATGCAATCACTATCAAAATTCTAATGGGTATTTTTCACAGAACCAGAACAAATAATCCTAAAATTTGCATGAAACCATAGAAGATCCCAAATAGCTAAAACAATCTTTTTCTTTTTTTTTTTTTTTATTTATTTGACAGAGAGAGACACAGCGAGAGAGAGAACACGAGCAAGGGGAGTGGGAGAGGGAGAAGCAGGCTTCCCGCTGAGCAGGGAGCCCGATGTGGGGCTTGATCCCACAACCCCGGGATCATGGCCTGAGCCGAAAGCAGACGCTTAACGACTGAGCCACGCAGGCACCCCAGCTAAAACAATCTTAAGAAAGAACAAAGTCAGAAATATCACACTCCTTAATTTCAAGCTATATTAAAAAGCTATAGTAATCGAAAAAGTATGGTATAGGCATAAAAACAGACACATAGATCAATGGAACAAAACAGAGTGTCCAAAAAATAAACCCATGCTCATATGGTCAATTAATTTAGGACAAAGGAGACAAGAATATGCAATAGAGAAAGAACAGTGTCTTCAATAAATGGTGTTGGAAACACTGGACAGCTACATGTAAAAAATAAAACTGGACCATTATCTTCTATCATATATAAAAAAAATTCAAAATGGATTAAAGACTTGAATATAAGACCCGAAACCACAAAACTCCTAGAAGAAAACATAGGCGGTAAACTCCTTGACACTTGACATCATAGTGTTTTGTTTCATTTTATTTTATTTTATTTTTTGGATCTGACTCCAAAGACAAAAGAAACAAAAGCAAAAATAAACACATGGGACTACATCAAACTAAAAAGTATCTCACAGCAAAGGAAACCATCAACAAAATGAAAAGGCAACCTACTGAATAGGAGAAAATATTTGCAAATCATATATCTGATAAAGGGTTAATATCAAAATATATAAAGAACTTATACACTTCAACAAAAAAAAAATCAAACAATTCCATTCAAAAAAATGGGCAGAGGATCTAAATACACATTTTTTCCAAAGGAGACAAACAGCTGGCCAATAGGCACATGAAAAGATGCTCAACATCACTCATCATCAGAGAAATGCAAATCAAAACCACAATGAGATACTAGCTCATACCAGTCAGAATGGCTAGTGTCAAAAAGACAAAAGTAACAAGTGTTCACAAGGATGTGGAACAAAGGGAACCCTGTGGCACTGCTGGTGGGAATGTAAATTGGTACAGCCACTGTGGAGAACAGTATGGAGGCTCCTCAAAAATTAAAATAGACCTACCGTATGATGCAGCAATTCCAGCAATTAAAACACTAATACAAAAAGATATAGACACACTTAGATTCATTGCAGCATTATTTACAATAGCTGAGATGTGGAAACAACGTAAGGTTCTGTCGGTGAATGAATGCATAAAGATGTGGTATATACATACAATAAAACGCTGTTCAGCCAAAAAAAAAAAAAAAAGAATGAAATTTCGATATTTTCATTATCATTTATGGACCTTGTGGCTATTTTGCTAAGTGAAATAAGTCAGAGAGAAAAAAACAAATACCATATGACAAATGAAACAAACAAAACAAAACCCAGACTCACAGATACAGAGAACAGATCTGTGGTTGTTGGAGGAAAGGGAGGTTGGGGGTGCAAAATGGGTAAAGGGGATTAGCAAGTACAAACTCCCAGTTATAAAATGAATAAGTCACGGTGATATAATGCATAGCACGGGGAATACAGTCAATAATAATAGTGTATTAACTTTGTAAGGTGGCACATAGTAACTAGACTTGTGATAACCATTTCACAACGTATACAAATGTCAAATCACTGTTGTATAACTGCAACCAATATCGTATGTCAATTTTACCTCAAAAAATTTAGAAAGTACGAGTGACAGTGTTGGCCAAGAGGCTAAACTTCCTACAATGTACACAATGAAGAACTTTCCCCACCCAAAATGCCATGCCATTTTTGAGAAACACTGCCCCACCTAGTGTATAGTCCTGGACCCTTTCTTAAAAAACAACTGGAAGTATTTCTCATATATATATGAAAATGCTTTATAGATCACCAAGCAAAAGATAATAACTAAGAATAGATCTTCAAAGTTGTCTTCACAAGAAAAAAAGAATTTGTAACTGTGCATGGTGATGGATGTTTACTAGCTTAGTAGTGATCATTTCACAGTACATACAGGCATCAAATCATTATGTTATATACCCAAAACTAATATGTTATATGTTAATTATATCTCAACTTTTTAAAAAGATAAAAAACAAATAGAAAAATACACTAGCCATTCGTGTCATGACATAGAGCAGTAGTTAGAACTGACTACATATAACGGAAGCCAACTTAACAGAAAAAAAAGTTTTAGGTAGTTTTGAGAGTACGCAGGAAGGTTAGAGAACCCGGCCCAGGATGGAACCAAGAACAGTGCCAAGATCCTGTCACAGGATAAGCTGCTTATAACACCCCTGCTTCCCTGCACAATTACACTACACTCACCCTTTCCAGGAACGAGCAGGCCATCAAATTCTGGGTCATGACCCACCAGGCATGTTACTCAGCACAATGCTAAATATAAGGATAGTATAAATGCTAAATATAAGGATAGTATTTCTTGAAAATCATGAGAATAGAGAAAAGAGAACACCAAGCTTACGTTACTTTGGCTGACCTCCTTTCCCTGTGCAATTCTTACTTCCATAAAGTACACCTCATTTTTACCTTGCTTTGTACAAATTCTTTTTCTAAAAGCTGTGACTAGAATCACTGCCATGATGAAAGTTTTTCTCTTAAGATATCTGGCTTTTTAGGAAGCTGCAGATCAAAACACACACACACACAACTTTTGAATTGCTTCCTTTCATAGTTCCCTAGACTTTGGTCTTTGTTATACATTAAATATGGATTTACAGCTCCCCAAACAGTACAACCTGACACCAAGAATATCTAAGATGAGATCCATGTTCTATTTGCTTTGAGTAAATTCTCCTCTGTAGTATCAGAGGTCTCCTTCAAGAGAAAAGCCTTCTATACAAGGTATATATATGGTTGGGACAGTCACTCTCAGCATAACTGAGACAATTAATGGGAAATCCTTTGATTTCCTCAAAGCCAGCACCTCCAGCAGTTACCTTATATGGACTTTCTTGTACAGTGAGTCTCATATATAAAATCTGTTGTTTATCTGTGTATTTCCAGGCTGGAAAAGCAGAGAGGGCGCCTCTAAACTGGTTTCTGATTATATGGCAAAGAAGTTTAATCTAGATCCACTACTTATCCATACGCTGAATCTGGATAAAATCAATGAAGCAATTGAATTAATGAAAACCAGAAAATGGCAAGTTGCTCACATAATTTTTATGTCTGAGTGTTTGGGACCAAGAAAAAGGAGTGTGGGGGCTGGGGGAGGCAGTAAACAGGAAGTAATGGCTGGAATTTAAGGTTTCAGGAATTTGTAAAACATTTCTTTCCCCTCTATATCTTATTTTATTCCGTTTATAAAAGATGTAAGCCTGAAAATACTTAAGGGTTCACCTACCCTTGCCAATAGCGTTTAATTTACAATCTGGCGGGTTTCTTCTTTTTACATGGCACATTAACTGATGAGGTTTAGCTCATAAAATTTTACCAAGTTCAAGTTCATAGTTTATAAAGAGGCCACTGTTGTTTTTGTTTCATATCAAAGGGGAAATTATCTTAAGAATTCCAAATTCTGATGTCTATCTTTGGCCCACAAACCAGACACCAGTGTAAATAAATCACCAGTCATAAATTGGACACTGGCATTCCCCACAAGGGAGTAAGTCTGCTTACATATTCTTTACCCTTGGCGCTTCATGCCATTTTGAAAAATCTCACAACTGATTTAATCTGCCTATTTTTACCTGACGTGAGGAAGGGGAATCTAACTTACTTGTCTACAAAGTAAAAAAATTGAAATCCAAAACAAATGTTGTTTTAGAAACATTTCAACTTTTTTTTTTCAGTATCCACTGTATCCTGCTACCTTAAGTACAATGTGATATATGCAAGATCTGCAGTTTATTTCACCAACTAAATTGTGTTCTGTATCATTTTCGTGGTCTAGAAGAATTATCTACACAACGCTGTTTCTATTTTCTTGCCTCCGATACACTCAGCAGTATGCTCATATCTGGATTCTACCTACCCTCACTACCCTCACCAACATTGTTCTTACGTGACCCAATGTCACCCAGTAACATCCTCCCTTTTAGAGTTAAGTTTGATCTGAATCACCCAATTTCAGACCCTTTAAACAAGTCACCCCAAGATACTCCCATTTTCATCTCTACCTCTGGGCCCGTGTTTCCTTACATATTTTCTCTCCCACCCCATGAAGCTCTGCCCATTTCACACCAAAGAAACAAAACTCACCATTCATGAGTTTATTAAACATTCAGGCTGAAGCAAGCTGATGCAAGAGGGTGGGTCTTCATTACATCAACTTAAATAAATCCCCATTGAACATTAAGTATTTCATTCTTAATATAACTCCCCTGAGGGGAACTTCTAGTGGTATTTCATCTTATATAACCCAGCCTCAAGCCATCACTTACGTCGATGGTACTTACCTCTTCTCTCCTGGATTATCAAAGCAATTTCAAGTTCTTCTTCAATTGGCCAGGACAGTTTAGCTCTCAGCAGTTCATATTACCTGGCTTTATAACTAAGCCATCTAGGGATTCAGCAGGAAAAAAATGGGGGGAAGGGGTCCTGGGGAGAGTCTTGTTATTTATCAGGATCCACACTCCCTGGGAGGCAGTTGTGGTATTAAATAACAAAACTAGCTTTTACTTCACTCTTCACAGAAAGGGGGTAATTGTGTAGTGCTTTAACTAATGTGTCCCACAGATTCTTTCCTCCAAGAAGTGGATGACGGGAAGACAAGATCCACTAATAGTTTGTGGCATCCAATCCCTTCACCCTGGCTCCCTACCACTCTGAATTAAGAAGGGGTTTCCCTTCTTAATTCTCCTAGATCCAGGATTAAGATTATCATTCCTCTTGGGATAGGACTTCCTTCCCTATCTCCTAGACATACAGTCTCTTTCCCAATCCTCTCCCCACTATACACACAACAGGAGCTCCCTTCCTGGTTCAAGTCTCTTCTGCTCCAGCCCGGGCTTCCCTAGATCTGGAGCCACTGAATCAGACAGGAGCCCCGCATGTCAGTAGACCTTGAGAGACCAGGATATAAAATGTCTTTTTTTTTTTTTTTTTTTTTTAAACCTAAACCGACTAGCTTCATGATTTAAGATTGATCAGAAACGGGCACCTGGGTGGCTCAGTTGGTTAAGCGACTGCCTTCGGCCCAGGTCATGATCCTGGAGTCCCGGGATCGAGTCCCATATCAGGCTCCCTGCTCAGCAGGGAGTCTGCTTCTCCCTCTGACCCTCTTCCCTCTCATGCTCTCTATCTCTCATTCTCTCTTTCAAATAAATAAAATCTTAAAAAAAAAAAGATTGGTCAGGAAGGTGGGCTACATCCTCAGTCTCTCTCTCCAACAGGATATCATGGCTATCATGTAATGTCAAGGGGCTCTTGTGAGATTCTGCTTCCCAAACAGAGCAAGCATCCTGAGGTAGACATCTTGTCTTTCCTTCAGGGTGCCTGCTCCCTGCAGATAGAGGGGATAGGTGCTATCAAACTTATTCACTCTGGGCCTTGGGATGACTCTTCACTATCTTCCCAAGTCTGAATTGGAATTTCCCCACTTTCCTATTAGTGTCCCATCCATCTTGTTAATCAAACTACTGCAAATCTAATTTTTGTCTCAAGCTCTGCTCCTATCCCAAACTAAGATATTTGGTACCAGAAGTAGTCCTAAGAAGGCAATCCTAAGGATGGGATTCTGAAAGTGGATCACTTGCCAACAAGATGGCAAAAGAACAGCACTGTGGTCTGTGGTTAAGATGGACGTCCAGGATCCCTGCCTCCTGGTATTCATGCCCCTGTGTAATCCTCTCTCCTTAAATGTGGGCTAGACTTGACTCAATTTCAAAAGCAGAAATGATGAGATGTCACTCTGCAATGAGTTCTAAAAAGACCATGGTTTCCATTCTTGGATCTTCTCTCTTGGACTGCCTGTTCTGGGAGAGGCCAGCTGTCACAGCACGAAGCAGCCCTATGGAGAAGACCCAAGTTAGTTTGGCTGCTGAGGTCTGTCAACAGCCATGTGAATAAAACTAAACAAGGATTCCTCCTGAGTCCAGCTTTGAGATGACTACAGCCCTGGCCAACACCTCCATTACAGCTTTGTGGGAGATCCTGAACCAAAACACCCAGCTAAGCTGCTCCCAGATTCCTGAACAGTAAAAACTTAAGAGAGCATAAATGTCTGTGTATTAAGCTGCTAAACAATAGATAACTAACACATTGGTGTAAGTGGGTAATAATCCCCCTTGGCATGCTCTCGTAATACAATGACTAAGAGTCTTCTGTGGTGAATTGGGAGGGGATACAGATTGCAGGATATGTACTGGCTTGTGCAATATCATTAGCACTTGAGAGATAAAATGGCAATGGTAATTACAAGAACTGTGGGTTTAGTTGGTTTTTGTTAAGTATCATCAATATGTTGAAGGAAAAACAAAACAACAAGGTTGAGTCAACCAACCACCAAAGAAGAGCACGACTGAAAACCACAAAACTTGTATAACAGCATTTAAATTTCCCCTTATCTCCTCCGATTACTCTGGCTGTAACCGCTGGCTGTTAAAGAAGTGGCCCCCTCCCCAGTGCCACGGGAGAGCAGGTTCTCCCTGCCTGGACACCACAGGAGCCTTACTAAGGTAAATGCCTCATAAGAGGATACCTACCTTCCCTCACCTCATGACTTCTCTGCCAATAAATAAGTTCAAGTCTCACCCTGACTAGGAAAATAATTCACCAAAATAATCACAGTATGTGGCTCACATGTATCAGCAAGAACTGGAAAAACATATTGAAAATCAATCATGAGCATGCTGGACCAAGGGAACAGAATATAAGGGAGAGGTCGTTGATATGGGTACAATCTGTAACTCAGGATTGAATCCCTGAGAAGAACACCTGCAGTCAGTTCTGGGCTACTGGGATGGTTCCTCAAAGCTTGGGGGTGGTGGTGGAAATAATGGCCTACAACAAATGAGGTACAGATGCCGGAATTGCTTTGGCAAAGTACCAAAAGTCAAGAGGCTCAGAGAAGGTGGCATGTTACAATGAATCTGACATAAAAATCTGAAAATCCACCAGATGACCATGTTCCTCAGTAGAATCCAGGGGGGTCACCCCTTTCACTAAAGCAGTAAGAAATGCACCAGTGGTTCAGAAAGAACCCACCATGCAGTAAATATATACACTATCAAATCCCCTAATCCTCCCCCATGCAGACAAACTAGCATAATTAGACACAGGGAGAGAAGAAATGCCCAGATCTTTCAAGAACTGTCAGATACAGAGTCTGAGATGACACTAGTACTAGGATAACCAAAATGCTAGCGTGTTCCCTTGTTAAAGTTTTGTGAAAGATGAGGCATTCCAGTTTATTGAAGAATTTACTGGGGGAAGAAGGGAATCAATAATTTAAAGGACTTCAAGACATCTTGTTTGAAAGCTTTTTCTCTGACCCCACATACTGCAGGTTGCTTTTCCAAATCTGAAAAATAAAAACATGAATTCAGGAATCTAGCCCCTTGGTTAAAGTTGTAAACTTGGCTAGAAAAACTAAAGTGTCCTTAACTTGTAGAACTTCATACGAGAAAATGTGCTTGGTTGCCTCCATGTACAAAGAAATAAATACTTCCCTTTCTCTGATTATTTTATGATTAACAAGTAATAATTTATACCAGGCTTGCAGAACGCATGAAAACTTGCATCGCAGTTCGGCCTGTCTTTGGAAGAACTACTACTTCATCCAGTGTCTGTACCACAACTTGCATTCCACCTCTATCATAATACTTGTCACCAAGACCAAAGTTACATACTGATTAATGTAATGGTCTGTGTTTTATCTATTTGGCCCATAACAAATTACTTCAGAACTTATGTCCCAAACAACCACATTTATTACCTGACAGTTTCTGGGGGTGAGCTTTTTGAGGAAAGCTTAGCTAAATGGAGCCAGTTCCTAGTCTATCATAAGGTTGCAGTGAAGATGGGAACTGGGACTGCTGTCATCAAAAGCTTGCCTGATGCAGCCATCAAAAGGAATGAAATCTTGACATTTGCAATGACGTGGATGCAACTGGAGGGTATTATGCTGAGCGAAATAAGTCAATCTGAGAAAGACATGTATCATATGACCTCACTGATATGAGGAATTCTTAATCTCAGGAAACAAACTGAGGGTTGCTGGAGTGGTGGGGGGTGGGAGGGATGGGGTGGCTGGGTGATAGACACTGGGGAGGGTATGTGCTATGGTGAGTGCTGTGAATTGTGTAAGACTGTTGAATCACAGACCTGTACCTCTGAAGCAAATAATACATTATATGTTAAAAAAAAAAAAAAAGAAGAAGAAGATAGCAGGAAGGGAAAAATGAAGGGGGACGGGAATCGGAGGAGAAGACAAACCATGAGAGACTCTGGACTCTGAGAAACAAACTGAGGGTTCTAGAGGGGAGGAGGGTGGGGGGATGGGTTAGCCCAGTGATGCGTATTAAAGAGGGCACATATTGAATGGAGCACTGGGTGTTATACGCAAACAATGAATCATGGAACACTACCTCAAAAACTAATGATGTAATGTATGGTGATTAACGTAATATAATAAAAATTTTAGAAAAGTAAAAGAAAAGAAAAGAAAACATTCTTTCAAAAAAAAAGCTTGCCTAGGGCTGGATGAACTGCTTTCCAGGGCCTCATTCAGATGGTTGGCAAACGAGCACTGGCTCCTTACGAGGTCTCTCATTCTACCACCTTGACCTATTCGTATTGCTGTGTCCTCACAAGATAGAAGCTGACCTCTCCCAGAGCCAGTGATCCAGAGAGAGTGACAGAAGTCACAGTGTCTTTTATGACCTAGGCTTAGAAGTCACATACCATCATCTCTACAATATTCTGTTAATTACACAGGTTGGTCCAACTCAGCACTGCAGGCCAATTTGAAGTCTGGTTTACGAGATGGCTCCACCTCCCTACTAGTGCAATTGAGGGTAGCCCTGGATTTAGTTTAGTTTAGCATTTGTAAAAAGTGTCCTAGTTGGATACAATAAGGATTGTTGAGTTTAACTGAGACAGATTCTGTAGAATGGCAAAAATAAATAAGAAGATGGGGATCAGGGAAACAGTGCAATCTATGAAAATAGCCATCAACTCAACAAATGTACTGACTTTCCCAGGTTCAGGAATGCCAAAACCAGTTTCACTCTATTTATTGCCTTCTATGACACTAAACGTAGCTCAAGCTCAAGTTCAAATAAGCATTATTGAGCATGCTGAAAGCATACAAACTTAAACTGTCAAAGGTCCTTACCTTTGTCCTTTGCTATGCTTCAGTCAGGATTCAGTCAAGAGACAGAAACCATACCAGTTCATATAAGAAATTGTTAGGTAGCAATAGAGTTGGTTTATGAGGTGATTAAAAAGGCAAGAAAAGACTACCATGTAATAAAGGTAGCAATCCCAATAAACTGCTACACTCCTTAGGGTTGGGAGAACAAAAGGACAATGTTGGAATTATTAAAACAGAAGGTTGAGAGAGGGGCCCCACCGACCTGAGACTCAGACCTCGAGGAGGGGGCTCTGGCTAGCTGGGGTCTCTGAAGATGCATCATGGGCAACTTTTGCAAGGGCTGGAAAAACTTCTAACTGGATTTAGCTGCTGCTATGAGAGGATACTGCTGCTACTGGCGTGAAGAAATGATGCTGGGGTGATTCTGACAGGAAATGTAAGCATCAAAGAATAAATCAGGAAACTCACTGTGCACAAACAAGAAAGAGCAAGTCCTTCTTCCTTCTCTACCCTCCCAGTCTCCTCTCCTCCACAACCCCAGTGCCCCCTTGTTGGCAGAGAATAGAGTCAGCCAGCAAAGCAGAACAGTGGTTTATAAGAGTCCCAGCATCACAGAGCCAAGTGTACAAGGGGGGTTGGAGTTGAGAGAAAAGAGTTTAGTAACTTGGACACTGGGGGAACAAACAGTAACAAGACAGATGCCAACAATGTTGTCCACCATGTGTTATGCACTTGTAATCTTTGTGCATTTTTGTGTGTATCCAGAGATATTCCAGTCACATCCCTTTGGGTTTGTAAATAGGAAGCTATGTTCTATCAGATAAGGTTATGTCCAAGTATATATAAAGAACTTATACAAATTAATACCAAAAACCAAATAATCCAATTAAAAGTGGCATAAGACCTGAACAGACACATGAAAATATACTCAACATCACTGTCATCAGAGAAATACAAATCAAAACTATAGTGAGATATCACCTCACACCTATCAGAATGGCTAAAATCAAAAACACAAGAAACAACAGGTGTTGGTGAGGATTTGGAGAGAAAGGAACCCTCTCATGCAATGTTGATGGGAATGCAAACTAGTGCAGCCATGTGGAAAACAGCAGGGAGGCTCCTCAAAAAGTTAAAATCAGAACTACCCTATGGTCCAGTAATCACACTACTGGGTATTTAACCCAAAGAATACAAAAAACACCAATTCTTCTTTTTTTTAATTTGTTTTATTTAAATTCAGTTAATTAACATTTGGTGTATTATTACTTCAGTGACATTAGTTGTATGTAATACCCAGTGCTCATTACAACACGTGCCCTCCTTAATGTCTATCACCCAATCACCTCAGCCCCTCAACCCTCTTACTCCAGGAATCCTCAAAAAAACACTAATTCAAAAGGATATATGCACCCCTATCTTTATTGCAGCATTATTTACAATAGCAAAATTATGGAAACAGCCGAAGTGTTCAATGACAGATGATTAATGGATAAAGAAGATGTGGTGTGTGTGTATGTGTATATATAATATACATATATATTGAAAAATATAATGAAATATTACTCAGCCATAAAAATAATAAATCTCGCTATTTGCAACAACATGGATGGAACTAGAGAGTATAATGCTAAGTGAAATAAGTCAGGCAGACAAAGACAAATACCATATGATCTCACTCATATGTGGCATTA